CCATCCACAGTCAATTGGAGCTTTGGAACGCAATCACAGATGTTTGAACGAATATCTGAGATGCTTTACCAATACTCACCAGAATGACTGGGATGATTGGGTTAAATTTTACGAGTTTACATTCAACACAACACCTCATACAGAACATGGGTTTAGTCCATATGAGTTAGTATTTGGTAGAAAGGCAAGGTTACCGTATGGCTCAAAGACGGACAATGTACAAATTGACCCACTATACAACTTCGAACAATATGACAAGGAACTTAAATTCAGACTACAGAATACAAATACAATATCCAGACAAAATCTTATCTCCAACAAAATAAAACGACAGACAATATCAAATAACAATATAAATCCAATTTGTTTACATATTGGAGAATCAGTATATATCAAGAACGAGAATCGGAAGAAGCTGGATCCATTCTATATAGGGCCATATATAATTGAAACAGTTGAAGATCCTAATTGCACTATTAGACACCCAATAACAAACAAGAAAACATTAGTGCATAAAAATAGAGTAATAAAAAGTGTTTAAAAAGCGAAAATAAAAACGAACCAAGAGAAAATTACAAAAAAAAAATTGTGAACCCAAGTCGAGAGGCGGAATATTTAAATAAATTTTCGAAATGGTTACACCATTTTCTTTTAGGGGGGAGGTGTAGCATCCGAGCTACTCTCTATATTTTAGAAGGTCTTACGCTGTCCTTTACAATCAGCAGTTAAGCCATAAACTGTAACCGTTGGGTTTTGCAGACTTTCCAAAACATCTGGAAAGCCCAGCCGTAAACAATCATTGGCCATTATCACCCTGACAATGCATTTAGCATTGTCAGGTAAACAACCCCTGTCCTTCGTTAGAATGCGGCGCAATGATTCACCTTAGCGCACGCCCATGTTTATGTTTGGACTTTCTTCTCTACGCCTTCTCCACTCGGGTCAGTAGGTAAAATGTAAACGTAGTATTTAAGTAAGAGGAATACAATAAATCAAAAGCATTAACACTGTAGACACTGAAGGCACGCGTATGCGCTGCTAGTTTTTCTTTCCGACGCCGAAATCTCAACGGAACATATTTGACATATTTGAATTTTCTGGATGATTTTATAAGCTTGACATATAGTTAATAGTGTAATCTATCATCATGCATAACTAAAAACTCAAAAAAAGTTTTCTTTGTCGTGAAATTGAGAAGAAAACATCATACGCTCTGATAATTTCATACATGTTGTTACCCCCCAGATCTTCCACACTTTGAACTGCCAACACTGGTGATACGCCGTGGAAGTACACCATCGGGATTTTTTGTTTGTTGTAAATTTTGTGAGAGTGGAATTACGCCCGGAGATTTTTTTTGGTCTTCTTTTTGTTCGTTGTTTACACGTGAAATATCAATCGGATGCGTTTCAAATGAATCGGGCGTGACTAGATACTACAGAATCAATACGTTTGGCATATTAAAACAATATAATTCGTTGTTCTGGTGCAAGGCATAACAACCAGTAGCATCATCGAGTTGAAAGTTGGAAATACGCCATGTAAGAATAAACGTTTTTGATGATATGAAGTGATATTTTCTTCTACTTTTTCGTGTTTATCGAGTAGTTTGTGAACTGTTCTCTCTATATGTACCAAAATATGGTTTGTTTACATTTTGGCTCTTCCGCCCCTTTCAAATGTTAGTCTAGAAGTAACGAAGTAGAACGTGTGTGGGGGTTTGTTTTCGAGATTTTGAAAACAAACCGGGTCCGGTATATGATTTGGAAATGAATTTCACTTTATTTTCATGTAGCATCAAAGTGAAAAGGTCTTTGCCCAATCCACTAGAAAATAACATATGGTACTTTCTAAGTAAATTTTATTATGTTTTCAAGATTCTCGTTGTTAAGAATTTTAAAACTATTTTTCGAGATAAAATATGGCTCTGCTGAATCTTCGCAATTAGAAAATTAATCGTTAAACTCTTTCTTGATAATGTTGTGGCCCTGAAAAGGGCCATTTTTCCAACGCGCTCGGCGTAGTTGCCCTTGCGGAGCAGACGGTGAATACGACCGACTGAGAACTGCAGCAGCTGGGCATTCCATGACGGCGGCCCAGTATACCGGAGCACTGGCACCAACGCACTCGGCGTAGTTGCCCTTTCGCCCCCAGGCTCTGCTGCCGCTGCTCTGCTGCCGCTGCTCTGCTGCCGCTGCTCTGCTGCCGCTGCTCTGCTGCCGCTGCTCTGCTGCCGCTGCTCTGCTGCCGCTGCTCTGCTGCCGCTGCTCTGCTGCCGCTGCTCTGCTGCCGCTGCTCTGCTGCCGCTGCTCTGCTGCCGCTGCTCTGCTGCCATTGCCTGCTGCCGTTGCTCTGCTTCCGCTGCTCTGGTACTGCTGCTCTGCTGCTGGGTCGACGATCGGATAGACAAAGATGGAACGGGTGACCTTGTTGGACGCTTATATAGTAGAACAGAAGATATCATTTGTGTCAGATACTCGCATCTGATGTCTCGGTTGGAGAAAGTATAAGAATATAAAAAAAATCAATCGATTTCACCATCTTTAGACAATGGTTTACTTTTAACCATTTTTCAATAGTTTACAGAATGAAATCAATAGTTTTGAAACATTCAGCAAATTGCTAGAAATATTTCCAATCGATTGATGCCATTATCTCGTAAATCTATCGAGAGACGGTTGAGTTATTATCGTTCAAAATCTTTTAATTTTTCGTAACTCATCCAAAATGACTGTTTTCAATTTTGTACCCCCGTATGTTGCCGAAAGACGTTATCTAACGTCAAAAGTTTGTATTTTTAATTCAACAATTTTATGGACCCCCCGAACATAAATAGTTTGAACAAAAAATATGAAGCAACTTTCCCTAAGAAACCATAAACCTAAAACTGATGGTTTGGGCGCAAACATTTTTGTCTTCCTAAATACGGCTTTGGGACAATTGTGCATTGGTTTTGGTTCTACCATACTCCTTTTTGTGACGTCTTGTCAAGTTTTCTTCGTACAGCTAAAAAACATCTATTTCAACTGATGTTTGCCTATTTGCAACAATTTTGAGGTTTTTACCAAATTTTGTTCGAAGGGGAACCACTGTGGGATAGTGTGTAGAATTGGACTTAATTGGCTAGTTCTGAAAAATCTTTGTTATTAGCCAACAAGTCAAATACCAACAGTCAGACGGCTTTAGTGCGTCTGGATTGTAAATTTTCTAGATCAATCAATCTACAGCGACTTTCGAACTCAGCAGATTTGAGGAGTCGTTCCAGGGTAGTACCCTCAACGCGTAACGAAGCTTCTCTGCGCTTTCTTAATTCGAGTTATCTGCGTTGCATGGTAGGAAGACCACACACAAGCTGCGTATACCGTAATATTCCGTACTATTTAGTGAGCAGTATAATGCTTTTAGCGGGTGTGGATCCTTGAATGCTTGGGAGATATGACGTAAAAATCCAGGAACAGCTTATCCTTCGGCGGTGGTAGTGCTGATATGCTCGTTGAATTTAAATTTGATGTCTAAGATGACATCGAGATCATGGATACTGTTGACACGTTCAACGAAAATTAAGTTGAGTGAGTAATCGTATCTATCAGTAGATTGGCAGTGCATGAAAGTAAACGATTTACATATAGTGATGTTCAGCTGCATACCATTAGTTGAGTACCACCTGGTGAGTTCGTGGATATCGGTTTGCAAAGCGCAACAGTCGAATACTGAAGAAATTGTTCTGTAAATTTTCAAATCGTCAGCGTCCCGACTTCAGACATGCGATGAGATCATTTATAAATGAAATGAAAATGAGAGGGCTGAGATAAGAACTAAGCCACTCTGTTATCCAGTCTGGTAGAACGAGGTCAGTGGACAGTTTCTGACATGCGCCGAAATGCATCGTGCGATACCTCAAATCACATGGAACTCAACATAATTATTAGTGCAAGTATTTATATTGATTTTCCATAACTAATAGTTTACCTGATCATTTGAAAAAGTTTTTTTATGGGGTTTCCTCTCGGTTCCCTTTGATTTTTCTCGTTTTTTTTTCCACATTTTTACGACTCTTATTCAGGTAAAAAAAAACGGCGAAAACGGCCGCTTCGTTCAGTACTAAAACTGCATCCGGGGGTGGGCGGGTGTTCTCGAATAAAAAGATGGAATAGGATGGAAACACACTATCCGTTTCATTCACTTTTTCACTGACAGTATCTACAAACAGTCAAGTTATAGACAGTTTGGATACAACATGGCAGCACATTGACAAGTCTATAACTATGCCTAACAGTGAAAGCTCGTTCGTGTGGTAAATTTTAAAAATTTTCCTTTATTACAAAAGTCTGTAAATATCTGTGGAAAAACTAAAAGTCTGTAAATTCACAGACATGTCTGTTAATCTGGCATCTCTGCTCTAGACCTCAAATTCATTAGTGTAGCTTGCTAGTACTATTCTAAACCTGTTACTGCTTTCAAATATTCATTATTAGTTTTTAATTTTTAGACTTTTGCGAAAATATTACTGTGCAATTGTTTTTTTTTATTTAACATGAAGTATTGCCACAATAGAAGTTTTGTTTTTGTGAACTTTTCACCAGAAATGACTTTTGTGAAGGAAAACAGAAATACATCGTGTTGAATTAAATTCCACAGATAAACTCTTCCACATTCCTTTATTTAACGTCGGTCTCTGTTCCAAAATCTAGTGCCAATCATCGACGGCCATCGATTGCCATCCATTGACGGCAATCGAATGAGCAGGAAAGCAGTTTCCATGCTGCGTAGGATATCGCACCCATCGCACACATGGACCGGGACCAACGACTTTACTTCCCGGTTTTACCGTGACCAAAGATTTTTATGCCTCAGGAAAATCCCACCGACCACGGCTGGGATTGAACCCAGACCCATTGGGATGAGAAAATAGTCACGCTACACATCTGTGCCAGCTCTCTCACTTAATGGAATCAAATACGAAAAATGATTGTTAGTAAGTTAGTTAGGTAGTCAATTACCTGTTACTTTGCTGCGAACCGTTAAACGTTGGTGATCTTGAAGGATATACGGCTGTCGCTTTTGGACTGCTAGAACGAAGGTAATCTGTAATTAAACGAATAAAATTAATAAGTTTCGTTGTTGTGTGTGTACGGAAGATGTAAACCTTGTTGACCGGGCGGTATGTACTCTTCGTGAGTTTGATCACCATTTTTGTCAATCTTCAAGACGTAGTCTGATTTTTTCCTAATTGACGTGCTAGTTTTACTGAAGCACTATAAAGTGAGTGTGCGCGGGGTGGTACTTCCGGAGGAGCAGGGTCTGGTGGTGGAATGTGAGGGATATCTGAAAATTATTAATTGGTGATAAACGTATTCTCTCTCTCCTCTCTCTCTCTCTCTCTCTCTCTCTCTCTCTCTCTCCTCTCTCTCTCTCTCTCTCTCTCTCTCTCTCTCTCTCTCTCTCTCTCTCTCTCTCTCTCTCTCTCTCTCTCTCTCTCTCTCTCTCTCTCTCTCTCTCTCTCTCTCTCTCTCTCTCTCTCTCTCTCTCTCTCTCTCTCTCTCTCTCTTTCTCTCTCTCTCTCTCTCTCTCTCTCTCTCTCTCTCTCTCTCTCTCTCTCTCTCTCTCTCTCTCTCTCTCTCTCTCTCTCTCTCTCTCTCTCTCTCTCTCTCTCTCTCTCTCTCTCTCTCTCTCTCTCTCTCTCTCTCTCTCTCTCTTTCTCTCTCTCTCTCTCTCTCTCTCTCCCTCTCTCTCTCTCCCTCTCTCTCTCTCTCTCTCTCTCTCTCTCTCTCCTTCTCTCATACGTACCAGCTGCCATTTACCGGGAGAGAGAGAGTTATTAGTATACTAGTATAAGTATACTTAGTTTAAAATTATGTTAGAACACACTCACATCATACATTCATACGACCGTCCCTCCCATTCTCTCTCTTTTCCTCCAGCTGAGCACCAACGTCACCGACGATACAACCGAGAATGATACACATCTGTTTAAATTCGTGTCTTATCTTCGAGTTTGAGCATTTCAATTGTATGCCTGCAAAATCGGATCAATAGCATCCATAAGTGTTGCAACTAAAACATGCGTACCACTTGTCATTAAGGTAAAGCGAGAGAGAGATTTGAATTTAAGTATAGTAAGTTCAATAGTTATTAAAAATTTTTAAGTGAAATTTACTCCGAATCACTCGTATTTATAAATACAGATTGCTAACGTTTATCGTACGCACACTACGTCACGTATACAGTATGCGAGAAATCAAATCACTGACACAATCACCCTTTAGCAATCTCTATACTCATCGTCAATTTTGAGGCGTACCTGATTCCATTACATAGTATCGTGGCTCATCTGGCATTTTTCGCAAACTTGTATTTTTGTTATCTCGATCGCGTTCAATATTGTTGCTAACGGAAGATATCGTACTGCTCGAGGAAGTTAACATTGATTGCCCAGTAGACATTAATCGGCGATTTAGCGTATTGCTTTCATTTCTATGTGATCGTGACCCTCTGGTTAGCGTGCTTCCTGTTGTTAGCATATTTCTACTATTTGTATATCCGGTTTCACCTATGAATAAACAAGGTACTGTATACTTCACGCTAATGTAAATTTTAGATATTACCATTTTTTATGCGTTCTTGTGTGCCGATATTCACTTTATTGTTAACGGTTTCTGGCGGACATGGAGACGTATACCGTACATGATGTCCTGGAGATTGCTGTAAATATGACGAACTTTGGAAATCTAACACTCCACCACCATCGAATTCTACTGGATGATGTACTCTGTTTGCTAATTTTATCGTGTGCAAAAAAAAATACGATTAGAACGTACCATTACATTCGTTTGATTGTCTACTTACAAGACGTGATTGATTGACTTTGTGCTAACAACTGCACCAGATTCTCGTCAACGAACTCATCTTCACTGCTGCTGTTGTACATATGTTCGTCTTGCCATTCTGTGAAAATCTGTCTAGAATACGGTTGCTCGTTGAAACTGAACCCTCGGTTGTTACCAAGTGATCCAGCTTTATTGGACATCGCTAACTAGGTTATATGAGATCAATTTGGAGAGTTGACGCAACGAATGCGACTTCATAGCTGATTGTACAGCTTCGTCTGTAAAAGATATAAAACAAAATGTCAGTACATAATATGATGGGGGTGAGATCTTCAACACCGTACTTTCGCGGATTACCCGAAGCTGCGATAGTGAAGGTATGATCACATACAATCAGACATAACACTCTTAAAATGTTCATCGAAATCGCTTTTAACGATCAATTTAAATGTTTCTTAGTTGGTAGTACCGCCACTTGTGGCGCACACAATCAATTCCCTTGCGTTTGACGTTTACACACTACAGCAATCTGTTGAGTGTATTGCCCATCACAGTGTATACGACAGATGGCAATAGAGTTTACAATGAGAAATGTTCAATATGTTGTGTCTGTTTGTCTGTGATATAACATAGAGGTAACGTTAGGATAAAATCAAAACATTGACTTTCACAAATATTTCTCTTCGCAACCGATGAACCATTCTGACGGCCATATGAGTACCCAACTCGAAAAAAATAATTATAATAAAGCAACGAAATTACAATGATTTTAACTGTTGAATTTTGAGTACATTAAAATTTATTGTTAAATTATTGTACGGAAGAAAAAGTAGATTTCGATTTTTAACGATACAATGCTCAAACAACGAAAATTAGTGTGATGAGATCAAATTAGATGCTTAACAACCCCCATTTTTTACTGTAAGTTTCTCAAATACCATGATTTTCATTGTTGTGAACCATGAATTTCGTTGTGATTTTTTTTTACGGGAAGTAACCATATTGTCGCAATATGGCTAGAATAATTCAATATGTTGTGTCTGTTTGTCTGTATTATAACATAGAGGTAACGTTAGGATAAAATCAAAACATTGACTTTCGCAAATATTTCTCTTCGCAACCGATGAACCATTCTGACAGCCATATGAGTACCCAAGTAACCATATAGTCGCAATATGGCTAGAATATTCTTAATATGCTTGAGTATGGTTAGTTGGGGAATCTGATGAAACTATCACTTCTTGAAACTGATCCCTTTCGTATTTCTTTCTTTCATGCTGTTTTCGCACAAGGAGTGCTCGGTGGACCAGCGACTTTGGACGTGAGCCTCGTCCCAGATCACCATGGCAATACAGTGACAGATGGTGGACATGAAACCCATCACAACAACCAGCGAAGAAGGAGTCAACATCGAACCAGGAACGTTCGGAAGAGCAGAATATGGTGAGAGCTGTCCAAATTATTGTTTGCAAATTAACTATCAAAATTAAACTAAATACATGCCAGGTTTGAAAACAATATTTTTGAACCTTGAAGTGTGTATGTATAAACAATATCCGTGTGATAACGGTGATGCATACATGCGGGGCTTATTGTAAGTGAAAGTAACCTCGTAAAGGACGTGACTCACCAGACATTCTGAAATGGGTTGCTGGATCTGCAATAGAGATATCACCTTCTAACTCCCGGACTAAAGCTGTCTACAATGACCATAAATGCGACATTATAGAGAGAGTTCTTCCGTAATTACACTGGCCAGTGGGGTTAGAGGTAACACACACACACACACACACACACACACACACACACACACACACACACACACACACACACACACACACACACACACACACACACACACACACACACACACAAATGGGCTACAAATGGTGAGTTGACAACCTAGCTCTGGTTCTCACAAGTTCCTACCTCACGCCTCCCCGTGGTGTAGCCTGGGCAATGTTGTCCTTCTGACAATAGCAAAGTGAGGGGGTGCGACGCGAACACTGGCGCGGTAACCATAACACGGCGATAGAGGAAATGCTTCGTCAACCCGCAGGAGTGCCAACCGGCACATTAGGATCGACGCCAGTAAGATCCTTATTACGGCATACTGGATACGGCATGGAACTATGGACACGACACGGTACAATGGATTGGATACCACGCTACAGGGCTGACAGTCGTGCTATTCTGCTCCCTAAGTAAAGAAGGGTGACACCTTCTTGAAATGGCGAGTGGGCTAATAGTGCGGCTGCCCCCGTCCCGGTAAAACCTTGGCAGGCCTCCGGATACGTTCAAAACTCGTCACCAATTGGTGATTGGTGAGTAGTAGGCTCAGATGTAACATTCCTGACTTACGCCGATCTGGCTCTGAACACGGCCCCCATGAAGGACCGTGTCAACCCTAGCATGGCCTCCCTGCTTGCATAGATAACCATGGGATCACGATAGGAGACTACATACAACGAGTGGAGATAGCGGCCCGAAGGGGGGACCCATCAGAATGGATAAAATTGGAGAAAAAAATAAAAATGAAGAAAAAGAAAAAACCAAAAAAAATATGAAGAACGACGGCAATACGCCAGACAGTGAAAACGGAGGAGCAAACGTGTTCGCAAGGAGTGGGATATTGCAGAGATCACCAGTGTCGAACCTGGGGGTCACTGCGAGTTCCAGCAGCAGCAGTAAGTTTCAAGAAGAGCAGCCAGGCGTTGGGCTAAGCCAGATATTCACACCAATATCCAGTAGTAGCAAATCCCAAGAACTGCAGCTCGGGAGAACCAAAATGACGGAGGTCAGGAGGAAGATCGATGATCTCTATGTGTTCGTGAAGGATAAAAACAACGTACACAAAGAGATCAAGCAACTTGTGACCGGTATCAAATCCGGCATAACAGTGGCAGATCGGGAATGTCAAGAGTGGAGAAAAAGGGCCGAAAATGCCGAAAAGGCTCTGCTGGAGGCCAAGGAGAACATAAGACTGGCTCAAGCACATGAGACTCCGAAGGGACCCACAAATCCACGTCCTGAAAAGAGAGATAGGGACACGCCAGGAGATGAGGAGGAGCCCAAAAAACGCAGGGACGACGAGGAAGGCATCAAGGAGATGGGAGAAAATGGTGCGTGGCGTAAAGTCGAGAACCAGAAGGAGAGGAAGAAAAAACAGAAGGAAGATGAAGTGAGGAAGAAGGAAGAGGAAGCGAGGAGGAAGGAAGAAGCAGCGAGGAAGAAGGAAGAGAAGAAGAAGGAAGACAGGAAGAATAAGGAGAAGCCTAGGCCTCGTAGGGAGAGAAGCAAGGGTGACGCTCTGGTTGTTGAGGCGAAGGACAAAACGTCCTACGCAGCACTCCTCCGGAAAGTGAGAGAGGATCCAGAGTTGAAACAACTAGGCGAGAATGTGGTGAAAACCAGGCGAACCCAGAAAGGCGAGATGCTTTTCGAGCTGAAAAGGGACCCTACGGTTAAGAGCTCAGCTTTTAAGGAGCTCGTCGAAAAATCTCTTGGCGAGACGGCGAACGTAAGAGCCTTATCCCAGGAGTCAGTGGTCGAGTGCAGGGATCTGGACGAGATCACAACAGAAGACGAGTTGAAAAGTGCGCTGAAGGTGCAATGCAACCTGGGAGACGTACCGATGGCAATTCGGTTTAGAAAGGCGTATGGTGGCACGCAGACGGCGTCGATACGACTTTCTTCGGACGCAGCTAACGAGCTGCTGAAGACTGGCCGAATCAAGGTTGGGTGGTCAGTGTGCCCGTTGAAAGCTATTCCTCGGGTATCTAAGAAAATGGAGAGATGCTACAAATGCATGGGCTTCGGTCACCAGGCGAGACACTGCAAAGGCCCTGACAGATCTGATCTGTGCAGGAAATGCGGAGAGAAGGGGCACGTTGCAAAAGACTGTACAAAGCAACCGAGGTGCATGCTCTGCAAAAAGGAGGACGGAAATGGCCATGTGACGGGAAGTTTCAGGTGCCCTGAGTTCAAGAAGGCGATGGTGGGCCAGCAATAATGAAGGTAACCCAAATAAATCTCAATCATTGTAACACAGCACAGCAACTGTTGTGGCAGTCAACAACGGAAACAAAGTGCGACGTTGTAATCATTGCAGAGCCATACCGAGTCCCTCTCGATAATGGTAACTGGGTGGCGGATAGAGCAGGAATGGCGGCCATACAAGTCATGGGCAGGTATCCCATACAACAAGTGGTGGCGAGCTCATATGAAGGTTTCGTGATCGCCAAAATCAATGGAATCTTTGTATGTAGTTGCTACGCACCCCCGAGATGGACAATTGAGCAGTTCCACCAGATGCTAGATGGGCTCACCGAAGAGCTCATTGGACGGAGACCAGTCGTCATCGCAGGAGACTTCAATGCTTGGGCAGTGGATTGGGGGAGCAGATGTACCAACGCAAGAGGGTATAGCCTGCTGGAAGCTCTGGCAAAGTTGAACGTCAGTCTGGCCAACGAAGGAACCATCAGCACCTTCCGCAAAGATGGTAGGGAATCCATTATCGACGTTACTTTCTGCAGTACGTCACTAATGGCAAATATGAACTGGACAGTGTGCGAGGAGTACACCCATAGTGACCATCAGGCGATCCGGTACAGTATCGGCGAACGAACACCGGTGGAAATGCGGAGGACGAAAGTAAGCGAGCGGAAGTGGAAGACGAAGGCATTCAATAAGGATCTCTTCATCGAAGCTCTAAGGGTAGACAACAGCGTCCCGGGCCTAAGCGCGAATGAGTTGACCGAATTATTAGCAAGGGCATGTGACACAACTATGCCGAGAAAACTGGAGCCAACGAACAGGCGGCGTCCAGCCTACTGGTGGAACGAGGAAATTAGCACCCTCCGTGCTACTTGTCTTCTAGCCAGAAGGCGTGCTCAGAGAGCAAGAACAGAAGCAGACAGAGAGGAGCGCAGGGTGGTGTTCCGAGAGGCCAGGGCTGCACTGAAACGAAAGATAAAGCTGAGCAAGTCAAATAGTTTCAAGGAGTTGTGCCGCGATGCCGATGCCAACCCCTGGGGCAACGCATACCGAGTTGCGATGGCGAAGATCAGAGGCCCAACGATGCCGGTTGAAATGTGTCACAACAAGCTGAAAGTCATCGTGGAGGGACTTTTCCCACAGCATGACCCGACGAACTGGCCACCTACACCATATGGCGAGGTAGATGAAGACAACGTTGAACAAGTCTCCAACGAGGAACTCATAGCAGCAGCGAAAGGGTTGAAAGCGAATAAAGCTCCCGGCCCGGATGGAATTCCCA